GCCTGTGACTAAGTATGGGTTATTTCATTACAGGCCATATGCCTCATCATCAGCTTTACTTGGTATTGCCAAATTTTTCCCTAAGGAGTTTCTACCAATTTACAGTCTTCCCAAACACATATGGCAGTTTCTGTTTCCTCATTTCTCATCCACACATGATGTTATCAGACATTAAAATCCTTTAAAACCAACCAGATGAATGTGAAATAGTATCTAACTGTACTAATTCTGCCTTTTTTTGATCATTTTTGAGGCTGAGCATTTTCTCATGTTTGGCCCTCTTGTGAATTTCATGCTCTTTTGTATATTTTGTGATAGAAGATGTTTGCTTTCCAAGTCTTCTGAATAGTAATCTCTAGTAGGTTGTATGTGAACTAGCTACCTGTCTTCTTTCAATCTGAAGGGAAATCTTAAAATCTTAAGTCTGCTTACTCTGTGAAGTATTCTTTATAGTCTGCCTCTCATTCTAAACCAGATTAACTGGATGCCGAGAAGGAAAACTAATTCCTGGTAGGTGAAACAGTAACATGTTGGGCTCATAACACCAAACTTTCTTCAAAGTACATGGGAAACTTTGAAAAAAATACATTAACTCTATTAAGAGAGTTGGCACTTACGAGTTAAAAGAAATACTGAATTTTACTGTATATTGTTACCATTGACTGCTCAAAATTATAATTTTAAGAAGTGTATGTGAAAAAAAAATTTTTTTTTTTTTTTAAGCCTGAGGGTTGACCTCAGGACTTTGAGCTTGCAAAGTAGGCTCTCTACCACTTGAGCCACACCTCAAGTCCATTTTGCTCTGGTTATTTTGGAGATGGGGGTCTCAAACTATTTGCCTGGGCTGGCCTTGAACCTCAGCCGTCCCGTATCAGCCTCCCAAGTAGCTAGGGTTACAGGCGTAAGCCACCTGCAGCCAGCTTGGATTGGTATTTGATGGTAACATTGAGAGCCAGTCCTTAAAAGTCTGATTTGTAAGCATGTTTGTGATATGGCCACGGGGTAGTAGGGTGCTCTGTTTACATCTCACAGTTGCATAATGTTTTATTTACCCCTCCTCTGCCTCAGCTCCAGATTTAGTGTGTCCTAGTTATCTCCTTCCAAATCATACATCCTCTTCAGGTGGACACACCCTTGAATTTGTGCTTTTTCTCTTCTGGGTCTTATTTGAATCCAAAATACTGTTTCATGTTTCTTTTTGGTTTAAAAATATGAAAGGAAAAAGTATAGTAAAGCAGAAGATGCTAGTAATAGGTATTTCTCTTCATTTGATACCTCTTGGCTGGTTTGTAAAACTGCTAATTTCCTTGGTAGCCATGTAAATAAGTTTGGTCACCTAGCAACAGAAGCTTGGACTGATGTCAGCTCTGGTGCAACAGTAAGAACCTGCAGGTATAACAAAGGGAGTTTCACATTGTATTCGTTCCCTCAACCTCTTTTTATCTTAGCTTTCAGAAAATATAATCAATATAATCAGAATATAAACAATAAAAGGTTTTCCTATCTCAGTGGTTTAGATGGGGAAATCAGAGTGGTAGAAGGGAGATCGTAAAAATGTTTTACTTGTTCACGCTTAATTTTCTAAGGTTTGCAAATAAGTTGTAGAGCTTGAATGTTGTTAGTGATATTCCTACTATGAGGGGTATTTAATTTTTCTTGACATAAAGGTGTATGGAAAGTATTCTTGTAAAACTTTACAGCCTACCCAGAAGATACTGTTTAAATATTAGTCTTAAAGTTTTCTAGGTGATCAATATTTACTTTTGGTATGTAGATTAAGGGAATTCTTTTGTTTGATTCTATCTGGTGGTAGAATTAAAATTCTGTATTGCCAAGTAAAATTGTCTTTGGAAGTGTATCTTTCAGAGTTGTTTTATTTCTTTCCTGGGGAACAGGTACCTGACAAATTTGTTGAGTGTTGATGGGATTTAGGAAAAAGCATTAAATGAATTAGTAGAAACCTGAAGGTTGTGATTGAAATGAGTGACATTAACAAATTAGTGAGGGACTGTTTTAATTAGTCTCAGTGATTCTTGCTTGTAGCTTGCACTTGGAGAGTTTAGAGACAAGATTCTGGAGTTTGTAATAAGTTGTATCATCTTCAGCTAACCATCCTTTTATTCATTGGAATGGCCCCTTGGGGAGTAAAATACAAGAGAGCAATAACCCATCTTCCTCTGGGCCTCCACTTGAGTCCAGAAGAGGAGCAAAATAATACTACTCCAGTGTTCTAGTTGTAGTAGAGAGCATGAAGACATTCTAACTTGCTCATTATACAGTGAGTGCTGTACAATGAACTCTCAGCAGGCAGAAGCTGATAAACACAAGTGGAACTGGAACATTATGCAAGCAAGCATGGTTCTTTGGTGTTCAGTTATGTGATTGTTTAGCATTTAGGTACTTTGTGATATTTCCACTGTTTAAGGGAAGTACTAGGTCAAGAAAGATGTCTAAAATAAGAAAATAAAAATTAGGACTGGCACTAATTCTAGGGTTTTTTTTGTTTATCTGAGTGATTCTTTTTTTTCTTTTATCAGTACTGGGATTTGAACTCAGGGCCTACACCGTGAGCCACTCCACCAGCCCTTTTTTGTGATCGGTTTTTTGGAGATAGGGTCTCTCGAACTATTTGCCTGGGCTGGCTTTGAACCACGATCCTCCTGATCTCTGCCTCCTGAGTAGCTAGGATTGTAGGCATGAGCCATGTACATTCATCTGATTCCAAATTTTGATGTATTTATTTAGGTTACTGGCTGGACACCTAAAAACAGGGTAGAAGGGGAAGAAAAATGTACTTAATTTTGGAGAGGAACACTCCTGGTGATTGTAAATGGTATGTTGTCTGTAGGTGCTATTGCAGGTTCATTGCTACCTGTTCTTGTATGTCCCATAAAACAGTTCCTTATTGGTTAGACTATGTTTAAGCAGTAGTTGGCCAGGATTATAATTTCAGTTACATCTAAATGATCTTGTCTAATCCAGTTTATGTGCTTTCAAAAAATTAAGTGCTAGAGGTTTATTAGGGCATAATTCCTGTGAAAGGTAGAGAGGAGGCAGAAGCAAATTGGACAAAGCTATCAGACCATGCTGTAAATTTGCTTGCTCTTCCTTCACTCTTGATGCTTCAGGTTTCTTTCTGTTTGTTGTTGTTTGTTTGTTTTTGTCTGAAGAACTAATTTAGGAATTGTCCTAAAGCAAGTCCTCTAGCTACAAAATCTGTTGTTGTTACTGTTTTCCATCTGAGAATGTGTCTTATTTCATCTTTTTTCTTGGTGGTACTGGGGTTTGAACTCAGAGCCTCATGCCTGCTAGGCAGGTGCTCTACTACTTGAGCCATGCCTCCAGCTCCTTTTTGCTTTTATAGATATTTTTCAGGTAGGGTCTTGTTGTTTTGGGGGCGGAGAGCACCCTTGAACTTAGATTCTCCTACTGATATCTCCTACATAGCTAGGATTACTGACGTGTACCACCACTCTCAGTTTGTTGGTTGAGATAGGTGCTTGCTAACTTTTTGCGTGGGCTGGCCTCAAACTTCAATATCTGCCTGTTGAGTAGCTGTGATTATAGGCATGATCCATTTCACCCATCCTTATTTCATCTTTATTCCTGAAATGTAGTTTTACTGGGTATAGGATTCTGGGAATACTGTTCTTTTGGTACTTGGAAAATGTTCTTCTTTTTGGACTCCATAGTTTCTGGTGACAAACTGGTTATTGGAATCATAGCTTCTCTGTAAGCATCATGCCACTTTTCTGGGCTGCATGAAAGATTTTTGTTTTGTTTAGCAATTTGATTGTAAAGTGTTGATTGAGCAGGATTTCCTGGAGTTTATCCCTTTTGGAGTTTGGTGAACTTCTTGAGTCTTCTTGGGTTTATGTTTTTGGCAAATCTGGGAAATAGTTTTGAAATATTTTTTCTATACCACAGTCTCCTCTCCTTTGCTTCTCTGATGACAGAAAATCTTTTTTCTGTTATTCAGATTGGGTAATTTCCATTTATCTTTGCTGGTTTATTGCACTGCTGCTTTCGTTCTGCTTTTGAGTGCATCTAGTGAGTTTTTATGTTGGTCACTGTGTCTTCTGTATCTTTGCTAAGTCTTTCTGTAATAACAACTCTGAAGTTTGATGATTCCAGCATCTATGTCATTTTGTCATTGGTGTCTTGTTGATCTTCCTTGTATATGAGTTGAATTTTCTTTCTTTCTTTTTTTTTTAATTGTTCTGGGTGGGGTTACATTGTGGAATTTGCCACAGTTCTTATAATGTATCAAATATATCATACTTGAATTCACCACCATTCTTCTTCATCCTCCCCTCTTCTGAGATTTTCTTGATTCTTTGTACAACAAATAATTTTTCACTATACTCTGGACATGTTGAATATTATGCTATAGTACTCTGGGTCTTGTCAGTAAGCAGGCAGGTGGCCACAAGTACTGACCAGGCTTCTCTCACCAGTGTGCTATTTAGTGTCAGATCCATGCATGCATCATTCATGGGTAAGCCTGGGAGGAGTAAACTCTTTTCTTCAAAACCCGGCCACCTCCTGTGCCCCCTAGCCTTAGTACTGCAGTTGTTGGGATGTGCCATGGATTATTTAGTAATCCTACATTGATTGGGCATATGTGTTCTGCAGACATTGCTGTGTTGAGTGTGCTTTTACAAGTACACTCTACATTACTGCATACCTTGGAAAATACTGCTATATTATAATGACAAGAATCAGTTTACTTGATTTCAGTTTCATAGACTCACTATTAAATCTGTATGTTGCCCAAAATACTCTAAAAATGTACCTGCTTATTCTTCCAGCAATAATCCATGAAAATGACAAGTTTTAGAAAGAAGCAATAGAGAAATTCCTTCCTTTGATAGTCTGTAGATAAACTGGAATTGGGTACTTACTGAAGATATCTGAGTAAAATGTAGACAGTTCTTTCCATTAAGATGAGCTGTAAAACAATTAGCTACTCATGATTCTTTTTTTTTTGTTTTCCCCAGAATTTTGATTCTGACATTAGCAGTGTGGGAATAGATGGCTGCTGGCAGGCAGACAGCCAAAGGCTTCTCAATGAGGTGATGGTGGAGCACTTCTTTCGACAAGGAATGCTGGATGTAGCTGAGGAGCTCTGCCAGGTAACAGTGCATCAACTGGGAGAGTATGTCAAAGAAACATGGGAACGTTTTGGAGTTTACATTATTTGAACATTGGGGCTTTGAGTTTTCTGCTAACTATAGATAGATTTCTAATATTTCAGTTATCAGGGATGACATCATTTTACTAGAAACATTTTTTAAATTGATAACAATTATAGTCCTAAAACTTAAGTGGTGAAAATTATAGTCCTAAAACTTAATGTCTGGGGTCGTTGTTTCCTTAATCCTTGCCCAGAAGGTTGGTCCCAGGTCATGAATCAAGGGGATCAGAGTGATGCTATTTTCCCTATTTATTCTTTTGATAGAGAAGATTAATATAGCCAAGAAGAAGAAAGGGACAAAAATACTAATGTTTGTTTTTTGATCTAGCCCACCCTAAAGAAATTTGCTTATTAAATAAATTTCAAACTAAAATTTACTTTAGGTGAGCAACCATTTATTTCTACTGAAACATAGGAGCTCTGGGGTCTCAAATGAGTTCACCAGCACCATGTAATTGTAGAAGTAGTAGCTGCCATGTATTGAGTGTTTTTCTCAAGCTAATCCCTGCTTTTATTCCTCTCTGCAACCCCAGGAAATAAAACCCATTGCTTCCATTCCACAGAGGGGAAGTCTGAGGTCTGGAGAAATAAGTAACTTGCCCGAGGCAATACAGAGTCTTCATTATGAGGAATTGGGTGGGATTTAATCCTCCATAGGTATCTCAAAACTATTCTAATCCACCATATGCTATTGCATTCTCTGTTTAGAAAAATGAAAGACTAAAAGGATTAAATAATTTAAAGCCAGTTTGTAAACCAAACCTCTAATCTTAGCCTTTTCCATTTTATTTTTTTTTTTTTTTTTTTTTTTTTAGCCTTTTCCATTTTAAAGAATCCCAATGAATGATGACTTGGGTCTTTCTTTGTACCTTTTGGGATTTTGTGTGTATATTCATGTAAACCTTACAGCAAATTATATCATTAAGTTAAGTTCATTTTCAAGTAACTTAGGCCCATAATAAGAGTGGCTTAAACAAAAATGAAATTTATTTTCTTGCATAGAAATAGGAGATAGCTTAGCACAGCATATATGATAGCTGTGTTCTGTGGAGCTCTTGGGACCTAACTCCTTATAGCTGTGCTGTTTCTAGGTGTCCTCTGCCATTATGGCCCAGGATAACAGCCAGACCTCCAGCTATATCTTTGTATCCTGTTAAGGGGCCAAGAGTACATTCTTTATTTTATTGGCCAGAATTTACATCCTGCAAAGCCATACTTAGCTTGTTCCATAGTTGTGTGCCCAGCTAAAATTTGGGGAGAAAAATGGTGATAGGGGAATCATCAGTCTCTGCCAAAGAAACGTATGTTAAAAACAAATTATCTTTGATAGTTTACCTGTATTTTACAATTTAGAATTCATTTTTATCACAGTGCCTTTACTTTGGTTCCTGCTAACAAAAATTTTTCCTATTTTTTTTTTTTAGGAATCCGGTCTTTCTGTAGACCCAAGTCAAAAAGAACCATTTGTGGAGTTAAATCGGATATTAGAAGCATTAAAAGTCAGAGTTCTGAGACCTGCTCTGGAGTGAGTTGCTGAGTTTGTTTTGTTTTGGATACTTTGAGAGAAAACTCTGTTTAGGAAAACTTAATTAGAAAACACATTGAAGATTTTTAGATTATTTTACCTGAGGTAGATTTCAGAGAAATTAAGAGAGAATTATTTTATTTCTTTCAGCCAAGTGAAACATAGGGATGTACAATATGAGGACATGATTAGAGTCTATTGAATTTACAGTTGATCTGAGTTAATATCAAAGAAGAGGGTTTCTTATACTTATACTGTACTACCTACCACTTTGTGTGGTCTAGGATTACAACTAGGATTCACTATTGTGCAGGCGGTCCTAGTATGATAATGTGCCAGGTCTAGTGCTGCCATTCTCAGAAATTATTTAATCAATTGTTGGAAATAAGTGGTATGCATAAAGAGAGCAAATACTGTATAAAGGAGGTTTTTTTTTGGGGGGGGGTGTTGTTTTTTGTGTACTGCTAGAGATGGAACCCATGTTAGACAAGCAAAGAAGCTCTGTTCTTAATTGTGTAGTTTGATCATTCATTGTGAACTTACTGTTGTTAAGAATTATCTAAAATTACCAAGTAAGGTAGATCAGGGTTGGCAGACCTCTTCATAGAGGGCCAAATAATATTTTAGGCTCCTTAGCCTACATAAAATCTCTATCACATATTCTTCTTTATTTTATGATCTGGTTTAAAAAAAAAAAAAAAAACAAGTCATTTTTGGCCATCTATCACACAAAACCAGAAGCAAGCTATATTTGGCCTATGCCATATTTTGCTGATTCCATTGTAGAATTTTTTTAATGTGAAGATTCAAGATACTTGTCATAAATAACTTATGAAAGAAGAAGCTAAATAATAAGAAGCAGTGGTATTGTTGGGAAAGTATATCCTTAGGGTCCTATTATTTTTCCTGTAATCCTAACTACTTGGGAGACTGAGAGCTGGAGGATTGCAGTTCTAGCCAGCCCTGGGCAAAGAAAAAAGTATGTGAGACCCGATCTCAAAAAAAGCTGAGCTGATAGCATGCACCTGTTATCCTAGCTATGGCTGGATTGTAGTTCCAGGCCAGCCTCGGCAAAAAGAGAGACTATCTCCAAAGTAACCAGAGCATAAAGGGCTGGAGACGTGGCTTAAGTGGTACAGTGCCTGCCTAGCAAGCATGAAGCCCTGAGTTCAAACCCCAGTACTGGGGATGGCGGGGGGGGGGGGGGGGGGGCAAGGGGAAACTGTTATTTTAAAACTCAAAAAATTAAAGCTCAGAATTAATAGTCAGGAAAATCCATGTACAGTTTTATAAAATACACATTTTTTTCTTAAATTTTTCTTCATAGCTACATTTTCTGTTTTTGATCATTTCTCAGTTCTTAGATGTTTGTATTGTATTAAAACCACCCAGATTCTTGCGTAAAATTTTAAGTTACAAAATTCCTGTGTAAATTTTAAGTAATGAAGTAAATACATTTAAATCTTATTGAAAGTATACTTCTCTGTAAGATATATGTTATCTTTGTATAGTGTTTGGGGGGAGGGATTTTTGTGTGTGTGTTTTTATGTTTTGCTGATTTTAGATTACAGTACACCTAGGAGATAAATTTTATCTAGCTATCTATAACATCTTTTAAACAAAATATGACAGTCATTCTTGTATCAGAGAGTGAGGGAATCTAAATATAAAACTGTACTGAGTTTTCAGTTTTATGGTGATTAGGAAATACTGGGTTGTTCAAGGTAGAATTCCTTTCTACATTTGTTTCTTAGGGTTTCATCAAACTTGTATTAAGTACTTACTGTGTCCTAGTGACTGACTATTTCTGCCTCAGTCTTCAAAATACTCAAGACTTTTCCTTTTGGAAAAGGTAACCTACTATAAAAGAGATGGGGAAACATTAGAAAAGTACAAACTGTCCTTGTAGCCATGCCAGTTAACAGCATTTTGAAAGAAAGTGCCATCTTTAGAGAAATCAGGTGGTTTCCTTCCTAAGTGTCTTGAAGAGAATTACCTTGGTGGATTTGCAATAGTCTAGGATCTGATTTTCAGCCTTGCAGATTCAGAAACCTGTTTTGTTGTTGTTTTCATTTGTTTGTTTGTGTTAAACACTAAGAACAGGCCTCGTGTTTAAAAAGTTCTAAAAAGGAGAATTGCTAAATTACATGTACAGTTTGGATTGCCAGTCGCTCTGAGGTGAGCTCTTGCTCGGCAGATCCAACATGAACTTCTTGAACACGGAATTAAAACAAGAAGAGATTGTTTTAGAAAATGTGTGATCTCAAGCTAAAGTGTCCTGATGCCATATTTCCACAATGGAGATAACCTTATAAATCTTCTGGGCAATTTGAAGTTCATTGACTGACTCCTATTCCTTTGCTCTAAGTACTCTTTGAATTGCCTTGGTCATTCCTTTTATAGGCTTCCATTACTTCCCAGGCATGTTTTTGGTTTTTGGTTTTTTTCTTACTTCACATCGTTTAAATCCTCATTTTATATTAAACGTCCATATTTGAATTTTCAGTCAGCATTAATTACTCAAATAGGTACAAAGTCAAAGGAACAACAAAATCAAAGTGCGCTGAGGAATAAATCTCCCCATCCTTGCCTCCTGGCTGAGGTTTTTTTCTTTTTTTTTTTTTTAACCACACAGGCATTCACTGCTAACCTTTTTCTTACACATTCTTCCAAAGATACTATGTATTTTTACAGGTTTATGTATTACATTTATGTACATTTTTATGCACAAATGGTTGCATTACTGTACACGTTTTTCCACATCTTGCCTGTTTTTACTTGAATCTTTTGGGAAACTTAACATTCTAAGGATTTCTTTTCTTCTCTTTTTCTGGTACTGGGGTTTGAACTCAGTGTTTTTCACTTATTTAGGCAGGTGCTCTACCACTTGAGGCACACCTCCAGCCAAACTTGAATCTTTTGAATATTTAACCAGTATCAGAACATCCAGAGTTATCCCATCTTCTGCAGTGGCTGCTTAGGATACCAGAATTTTCTCCAACCACTCCTATTTGCTAGACATTTGGTAGTTTCAGGCTTTTGCTCTATAAGCAGTTCGGCAGTGACTAGCCAGTGGACATTGTTTTGAGCATACTCAACTATGTGTGTAGGGTCCTAGAGTGTTGGGTCAAGGTACATTTAAAACTTAGGTTAATTTTTGCCAAATTTTTCTCTTTTATAAAGGTTGCTCCAGGCTATAAGTCCTACCACAAATAGCAAGAATTATTTCACATACTTGTTATCACAATTGATTTTCCTTCCAAGATCTTTGCAAGTGAGATAGCTGTGTGTTGTGGGGGAAGAATACACCTCTCTTACCTTATTTTCATTTATTTTAAGAGTAAGGTTGAGCCATACCTTTAGCTGTGCTCAGACCTTCAGTCTGGAAAAAGTCTAGACCTCCCATCTGGTTAATAGTCTTGTGACTCTGAGGGCCATCGTAAGGCAGATGGACTACTTTAGACTACAAAGTCAGTGGTGATCAGTAGTTCTGAAGAGAAGAAAATGCTTGTCAGCTTAAGAGAAATGGAGGTATCAATGAATAAATTATGATTTATAAGTGCGAACAGTTCTAGAAAATGAAAACAGGAGGCAAGCAGATCATAGAGCTTTGTCATTGGAACTGAGGGCAGCAGTTTCTGGTATCTGTTTTGTTGTTCTTACTGCTTTAGACACTTTTCAGTAGCCACAAATCTGAAGAGAAGACCAGACTCTCATTCAGAGGCCAAAGGAGAAGGAGAATCAAGTTGGATTTTTCCCTAAAGTTTAATCTTTTTTTATCCCTGTCCTCCCCAAATAATTGGTCTTAATTCTGAAAAGGGAGGAGAGGAGAGTTGGTCCATTTTTAACTTATTCTGTTTATACATTAAGTCTGATGGGGAAAGAGTACCTTTATTAAATAAAGAGAAGTTAATCAAAACTAGAAGAAGATGCTCAGTGGAAAGGACACAGGAAAGAACATAGCACAATGGTGAAAGTTTATAGGAAGTGCCAAGACCATAGACACTCCTCAAGAGGAGTAGACATTATCTGAGTATGTCTTAAACATGAGCAGTGTTGGAACTGAGTGGACAAGCCAGTACTAGAAAAATTGAGAATCAAAGAGAAATGATAAATAAATTGTCCCTGAGGTTAAATGTTTAAGAGCACAAGGAACTGAACTGACCAGGAGACAACATACCTAGTGGAGAAGAGAAAAGACACTGGAGTTTGTGCCTATGAAATGCTGCCTCAGGATTCATTAAACTTGTAAAAATCCTGGCTTTTGTGGTAGGAAGCTAGCGATAAATAAGGCAATCTCTTTTTTAAGTACTTCTACCTCAGCCTTGTTGCGTGTGGGGATTACAGGAGTGTACCATCATGCTCAGCTCTGTATGGTTTCTTAAACAGCATGTGAGGAGGACAAAGGCACACACCTCCGAGATGAGTAAAATGTTAGTAATTGTAGTGACTCCCATAGCCAACACTACTGTTTGAAAATATCTCAAAAATTAAATGTTAGCTGTCCTTATATGTCTCCAGAGCAAAGTTCTAGGGTTCTTAACTTTTCTTGACTAAAATTTGATTTCTATGATGTGTGCCATTCTCTGAATTTTTAAAGTATTGGATTCTTATAGCTAATAATGTCCCATCAAGTGCACACTTGTACAGTTGAGTAAGTGTTGCTCGTCCTCCTGAACATCAGCTTTTATCCCCAAGAGACTAAAAAAAGACCAAAAACAGTTTCTCTAAAGAAAAGTAGAAAAGAGGGTGTTTGGTAAGCATTTAAAAATGCTGTGAAAGGTTATTACAGAGTGTGCCATGAGACTTGACAAGAGGTATTTTTCTTCCAGTATTGCCAGAAATAGATACCCACCCAGGTTGGCAAAACTGCAGGGGGAGAGAAAGCAGCAGGCTAATGTTGTCAGTTAGGTTCCTGGGGAAGAACAGCTAACTGTGAAAGTGGAATCTTGTTTGTATTGGTTTTAGAATGCTGGAAATTCTAAATACAGAGCTACCCA